CAATGGCGTGATCTCGGCTCACCGCAACCTCCGCCTCCTGGGTTCAGGCAATTCTCCTGCCTCAGCCTCCTGAGTAGCTGGGATTACAGGCACGCACCACCATGTCCAGCTAATTTTTTGTATTTTTAGTAGAGACGGGGTTTCCCCATGTTGACCAGGATGGTCTCGATTTCTTGACCTCGTGATCCACCCGCCTCGGCCTCCCACAGTGCTGGGATTACAGGCTTGAGCCACTGCGCCCAGCCAAGTCCATATTAATATGGTTTTCAAAATTAATTTTGTGGGACCAAGTCCAAATATTCCATATTGATATTTATAATTGGAGAAACTAATAAATAAATGTGAGAGAACTGTAAGTTCACCTTTATAGTGACTGCTCATTAATAATGTATCTCCCCAGAAGAAACTTTATTATTTTTTTAAAAAGGTAATTTTACAGTGGATAAATCTGAAAGACATCATCTTGGCCAAATGACAAAGTAGAGATCACCAATGAAGGGCCAAACCAACATCATTTGGCCCCTGTTATGTTACAATAAGTAGGAAACCTTATCACTTTGGTGGTATTCCCACCAACAATATATAATCTGCACTTGATCTTAGCCAAAAGGCCCAGAAGCGATAACTATACATGATCTAAACCTAAACATGAAATATATCAGAAAAATCCCAATGAATGTCTTTCTCCCAAATCACTTGCCTATACTCTTAAAAAATACCATGTACATAAAAGACAAAGGCTGTGAAATCCTTCCAGATTAAAGATAGAATACGTGATGACTAAACACAATGCATATAATTAGGCTTTAAACTGAGGGCAGGGTGAAGGGTGGGGGAGATAGAGGATAGTTGTGAGGACTTCAAATGAATGGAACCACACATTAGATAATATGATGTTATGGAATATGTTATCTAGCACTATCTAATTATAACACTATAAGCACAATTAGTTTTAACAGACATCTAATATTTAATAAATATCATTTAATATAATGTCTAATATTATGTAGCATGTTACGTGAAACCCTATAACATGCCCTTTCTAAACACCTCTTAGCAAGTCACTCCATGATCACCATGGAATGTGGGTTTCCCTGCTGCAGAAATCTACAATCAATTGTCTCTGGTTACAGGTATGTTCCTGGTAGTATTTGGCTGATGGTCACCAGCAAACAGGAAACAGGAAAAGCAAACAGGAAAAATGTAAACAATTGCAAATCTGGGTAAAGAGTATATGGGAATTTCTTATGCTATTTTTGCAACTTTCCTATAGCTTTGAAATGATATAAAAATGAAAAGTTTTAAGCTACCAGGAAATAGTCATAAGGATAACAATGGGAATAAGTGAGCACGACATAATATGGCAGTTTGCTAGTTTATTCTGTATTAGCAGTATTTAAAAATTTCCATAAAGAAATATGAGAAAACACATTAAGATATTATAACAATTTTTAAATGTTTCTAAATAAATATACAAATAGACACAAAGAAAGACTAAAAAAGGATGATTAGAAAGACTAAGAAGATATGGGGGAGGCCGGGAGCGGTGGCTCACGCCTGTAATCCCAGCACTTTGGGAGGCTGAGGCAGATGGATCACCTGAGGCCAGGAGTTTGAGAACAGCCTGACCAATATGGTGAAACCCCGTCTCTACTAAAAATACAAAAATTAGCTGGGCGTGGTGGGAGCTGCCTGTAGTCCCAGCTACTTGGGAGGATGAGACAGGAGAATTGCTTGGACCTGGGAGGCAGAGGTTGCAGTGAGCTGGGATCCTGCCACCTCACTCCAGCCTGGGCGACAGAGCAAGACTCAAAAAAAAAAAAAAAAAAAAAAGAAATGGGGGATAACTGGAAGTTCTATCACGTCTGTCAGACAGCTACTACCTTTACATGTTGAATTAAAACATTTTTTTCTCCTATTTATCTAATTTCAAATTGTTTCGCAATGATATGGTTCCACAACAATACAAAATCCTTATAAAAAGTGAAACAAAATGTTGACAAATTTTTAAAAGATTCCTACAGAGGTCCAAGTCCATGAGCCTTTCTCTCAAGGTCTTTTCAATCAAGACCTAACTTGCTTTCCCCACCTGATTCCAGCTAGTTGCTCTGCCGAAATGAAAATGTATCCAAGGAATGATGAATTCAGGCTCTGATCCTGACTCCAACTCCAGCTCCACCTCTTACTTCAGTAACTATGCACCTGGTATCTCACTACCATATTTAAAATGGAAAGAGCAATACCTTTCCACAGAGCCACGCTGTGGCCTGGCTTAAAGGTATTCATTTCCATAAAGCCCTTAGAATGAAGTTACCAATTAAAGCTTAATTATTATCAATTCCCATGCCCAAGGACACATCCTATACACTCTTGGTTGAAGTGAACATCTCTGTAAAAGAAAAAACCCGGCCTGGAGCAGTGGCTCACGCCTGTAATTCCGGCACTTTGGGAGGCCGAGGTGGGCAGATCACTTGAGACCACCGGTTCAAGACCAGCCTGGTCAACATAGTAAAACCTGGTCTCTACTAAAAATACAAAAATCAGCCGGACACGGCGGCACATACCTGTATCCCAGCTACTCGGGAAGCTAAGGCAGGAGAACCGCTTGAACCCAGGAGGCCGAGGTTGCAGTGAGCCGAGACCGCTCCACTGCTGCACTCCAGCCTGGACACAGAGCCAAACTCGTTCTCAAATAATAATAATAATAATAACGGACTAACAAAGTAAATAACACTTTTTAAAAAGCAAAAAAAGTCAAGGACCACTCGCGTAGAACTTTGCCCCAGTAGCCAAGCCCCTCCCTGCAGCTCTTTTGGAAAGGTCAGGCTGGGGAAGGAGAAAGCCGGGAAACACCCTGGCTGAGTCGCCGTTCGGGTTAAAAGTTAAATGCTTCCCTCCCTTCGTGAAGGCTGGAGGCAACCCTCGCCTTCCTAAAAAGAGGTCAGAGGCATCCAGGATCATCCAGCGTCCTGCCGGGATGCGAGAGAAGGGCCGGGGCAGCTGGAGCTCTGACCCCACCCGGGGACCTGACCACTTCGCGGGAAATTAACAAGAGCTCAAGTGACAGGGGCTGTTAAGGCTTTGTTTTATACCACAACTTTCAACTCCTAAAACAAGTCTATCAGGATGGTCCTAAAATCCTAATTTTAAAAACGGCAATGAGATTAACACCCCACGTTATATTGCGAGAAAGAGGTCGCACACGTAGGGTGGAGGGAGGCTGAATGAGCGAGTTCAAAGACCTGGAAAACCCTCAACACAGGCACACAAGACCAGACAGGGTTTTCCCCCCGCCCACCGTCCCCCGTCCCCCGTCCGCCGAAGACTCCTCCTGTGGACGCGAGTACAGCCCGCAACGCCAGAGGGCTCCGCCGACGGCAACAAACCCTCCTTCCCACCCTCGCATTTCCAAACCTCAGGTCTTCGCCAGGGCTTCTTACCCTCTTAATTGACCGCCAGGTCGTTAGGGGCCCCTAACAACCGGTTCACTTTCGCAAAGACCGTCAAGGCACAGAGTTGGCTCAAACCACCTTGGTAAGCAAAGTAGCAACGTCCTGCTCGGAGACCGGAAGTGTCTGCATGCCACAGAGCGTCTGGACTACACTTCCCAGAATCCTCCGAATCCGCCTGCCTGAGCCAAAGTTCCCACGACTCCACAGAGCAAATGGACTCCACTTCCCAGAATTCACAGGTCCCCCTGCCTGAGCCAAAATTCGAAGGCCTCCCAACGTACTCGCGGAAACGCCTGCGGGAGCCAAATTTCCTGCGCATCCAAGCGGCAACTAAACTTCCACAGGCGTTTCTTTCAGATTCAGCCTTGGTAGCACCATGGGTCCAGAAATTTATTCATTTCTTCAAGATTTTCTAGTTTATGTGCAGAGAGGTGTTTATAGTATTCTCTGATGGTCGCTTGCATATCTGAGGGGTCAGTGGTGACATACCCCTTATCATTTGATTGTGTTGGATTCTTCTCTCTTTTCTACTTTATTAGTCTAGCTAGCAGTCTTACTAATTTTTTCCCCCAAAAAACCAGCTCCTGGATTTGTTAATTTTTTGAAAGATTTTTTTGTGTTTCTATCTCCCTCAGTTCTGTTCTGATCTTATTTCCTGTATTCTCCTAGCTTTGGGGTTTGCTTTTTGTTCTTATTTTAGTTGTGATATTAGATTGTTAACTTGAGATATTTCCAGCTTTTTGATGTAGGCATTTAGTACTATAAATTTCCATCTTACGCTTCTTTAACTGCATCCCAGAGATTCTGGTACGTTGTGTCTTTAGTCTCATTAGTTTTAAATAATTTGATTTCTTTCTTAATTTCATTATTTACCCAGAAGTCATTCAGAAGCATGTTATTCAATTTCCACATAGTTGTGTGGTCTTATGTTAATTTCATTTTTAATTTTTTGGGTGAATTTCTTTTTTTAAAAGTTATTGTTCTATTTTATTAATCTCTTGCTATGCTTAATTTATACATTACACTTTATCATCAGTATGTATATATAGAAAAAAAACGGTGTATAAAGGTTTGGTACTATCTGAGGTTTTAGGAGTCCACTTGGGGCCTTGGGATGCATCCCCTGAAGATAAGGAGGAACTACTGTATGCAAAATCGAAAGCTATGCAACAATTAGAAACATTGAGAGAGCAAATCTGAGTATAAGTGAAGACATTCCTCTGAATTCCTAGGTTTCATCAAGCATCAAAAACAACCAATCTTTTAGTCCTTTTCTTGTACATTATTCTGAATCCACATTCTCTGCAATTGATTGGATCCCTAGATTTTATTTCATTTTCTGTGTGACATTCTCCACAGATGTATATCATTGGTTGCTGCTTTGGAGGTTGAACGTCCTTCTGAGTGTCCATTGTTAGCCTGCAACACGGGAAAAGTTCTCACTCTGTGTTTCCAAATACCTGGGTGAATTTCTTAATCTCAAGTTCAATTTGATTGTGCTATTGTCTGAGAGACTGTTATGATTTCAGTTCTTCTGCATTTGCTGAGGAGTGTGTTACTTCCAATTATGTGATTCATTTTTAAGTGCTGTGCAGCGATGAGAAAAATGTATATTCTGTTATTTTGGGGTGGAGAGTTCCGCAGATATCTATCAGGTCTGCTTGATCCAGAGCTGAGTTAAGGTCCCCAATATCTTTGTTAATTTTGTCTCAATGATCTAATATGGTCAGTGGAGTGTTTAAGTCTCCCATTATTACTGTGTGGGGCTTTAAGTCTCTTTGTAGGTCTCTAAGAACTTGCTTTTTGGATCCGGGTCCTCTGGTATTGGGTGCTTATATATTTAGAATAGTTAGCTCTTCTTGTTGCATTGATTCTTTTACCATTATGTAATGCCCTTCTTTGTCTTTTTTGATCTTTGTTGGTTTAAAGTCTGTTTTGTCAGAGACTAGGATTGTAACTCCTGCTTTTTTCTGATTTGTTTTCTTAGTAAATTTTCCTTCATCCCTTTGAGCCTATGTGTGTCTTTGCATGTGTGATGGGTCCCTTGAAGACAGTGTATTGATGGGTCTTGGCTCTTTATCTGGCTTGCACTTCTGTGTCTTCTAATTGGGGCATTTAGCCCATTTACATTTGATATTAGTATTGTTTATGTGTGAATTTGATCCTGTCATCATGATGCAGACTTGCATATTTTGCAGACTTGTTTATGCAGCTGCTTTATAGTGTCACTGGTCTATGTGCTTCAGTGTGTTTTGTAGTGGCTGGTAATGGTTTTTCCTTTCCATATTTAGTGCTTACTTCAGTAACTCTTGCAAGGCAGGCCTGGTGGTGATGAATTCTCTCAGCATTTGTTTGTCTGAAAAGGATCCTATTTCTTTGCATATAAAGCTTAGTTTGGCCAGATACTAAGTTCTGGTTAAGAAATTCTTTTCATCAAGAATGCTGAATATTTACCCCAAATAACTTGTGGCTTGTAGGATTTCCACTGAGAGGTCTGCTGTTAGTCTGATGGGCTTCCCTTTGTAGGTGACCTGATGTTTCTTTCTCTCTGACTGCCCTTTACATTTTTAAATTCTGACCTTAGAGAATCTGATGATTATGTGTCTTGGGGTTGATCTTCTTGTGGAATATCTTACTGGGGTTCTCTGTATTTCCTGAATTTGAATGTTGGCCTGTCATGCTAGGTTTGGAAAGCTCTCCTGGATAATGTCCTAAAGTATGTTTTCAACTTTTTTCCATCCTCCCCACCTCTTTCCCCAATCAGTCATATGTTCAGTCTTTTTACACACCTCCATATTTCTCAGAGGTTTTGTTCATTGCTCTTCACTCTTTCTCTATTCTTGTCTGCCTGTCTTATGTCAGAAAGATAGTCTTCAAGCTCTGAATCTCTTTCCTCCTCTTGGTCTATACTACTATTGATACTTGTGATTGCATTTTCAAGTTCTTGTGTTTTTTAGCTCCATCTGGTCAGTTATGGTCCTCTCTAAATTGGCTATTCTGGTCATCAGCTCCTGTATTATGATTCTTAGCTTCTTTGCATTGGGTTATGACGTGCTCCTTTAGCTCAGCAAACTTCATTATTACCCACCTTCTGAAGCCTACTTCTGTCAATCCAGCCATCACAGCCTCTACCCAGTTCTGTGCCCTTGCTGGAGAAGTGCTGCAGTCATTTGGAGAAGAGGCACTCTGGCTTTCTGAGTTTTCAGCGGTTTTTTTGGTGTTTTCTTTTTTTTTCTCATCTTTGTGGGCTTATCCACTTTCAATCTTTGAGGTTACTGACCTTTGAATGGGGTTTTTGTGGGGTCTTTTGTTGATGTTCTTGTTGTTTTCTGACTGTTTTTAACAGTCAAGCACTGACTGTCAGCAAATGTAGGGCGGCTGCAGTTTGCTGGGAGTCTTCTCGAGATCCTAGTTGCCTCAGTTTTTCCCGTGCCTGGAGGTATCACCAGTGAAGGCTGCAAAATAGCAAAGACAGCAGGCTGCCCCTTTGTTTGGAAGCTCTGTTCCAGGGAGTACTGACCTGTTGCTGGCCTAAACACTCCTGTCGGAGATGTCTAGAGACTCCTGTTGGGAGAGCTCATCCAGTGAGGAGGAACAAGATCAGGGACCTAGTTACAGAAGCAGTCTGGCTGCTCTTAGTAGAGCAGCTGTGCTGCGTTGGGAAAGGACCTTTCCTCATCCAGATTGCCCGGACTCTCCATAGCCAGCAGGATGGAACAGCTTTGTCAACCGAACCACAGAGACAGCAGTCACCTCTCCCCTGGGAGCTCCATTCCAGGTAGAGATTAGATTTCTGTCAGTATACACCTGGCTGGAGTGACTGAAGGCCCCACCCTGTGGGGAGGAATGGATCAGGGTCCTACTTGAAGAAGCAGTCTGGGCCAGGTGGAGTGGCTCATGCCTGCAATCCTAGCACTTTGGGAGGCCGAGGCGGATGGATCACCTGAGGTCAGGGGTTCAGGACCAGCCTGGCCAACATGGCAAAACTGTCTCTACTAAAAATACAAAAATTAGCCGGGTGTGGTGGTGCATGCCTGTAATCCCAGCTACTTAGGAGGGTGAGGCAGGAGAATCAGTTGAACCCAAGAGATAGAGGTTGTTGTAAGCCAAGAGCATACCACTGCACTCCAGCCTGAGCAACAAGGCGAGACTCTGTTAAAAAACAAAAAAAACAAACAAAAAAAAACAGCAGTCTGGGCATAATCTGGCAAAATAGGTGTGCTGTGTTGGGTGGCGGAAACCTTTCCTCATCCAGACCACTTGACCTTTCCAGAGCTGGTAGGCTGGACCAGTGAGTCAACTGAACCACAGAATGGTGGCCATGCTTCCTAACAGGAGCTCCCTCCTATTTCAGGCAGGCAGCCTGTTGCTATTAGTTGGCTGGAATTCCAAGCCAGTGGGTTTTGTGAGGTGCCATGGAAGTGGGGCCCATAGAATGTTGCTGCTTGAATCCCTGGATTCAGCCCCCTTCCTAGGGGAATATAAGGATGAGTCTGCCACCTTGCCAGGAATTCTGGGGGTGAAGCATGTGAACCCCCTGGGCCTTTGTGTTCCTGAGTGGCTACTTTGCCAAGACTCCGCACAGCTCTGTGGAGTGGCATGGGCTCAGAAGGAGATCTCCTGACCTGCAGGTTGCAAAGATTTATGAGAGTAGCATAGTTTCCTGGGCAGGGTTGCACAATCATTCCCCACTTCCCTCGGCTGGTGGTGAGGGTTCCTTTGGCTCCATGCCACGCCACCATCACTCTGCCCTGCTTTTCTTCATTCTGTGTGGGTAATTAACTGCCTAGTCAGTCCCAGTGAGAGAACCTGTATATTTCAGTTGAAGGTGCTGAATTCACTTGTCATTTTCATTTCTCTCTATAAATACCGTGGACTACATAGCTGCTTTTAATTGATCATCTTAATCCATCCCAGGTTTCCTCTTTTAGATTCTATTTTGAAATATGTTTTCTTTTTTTGATCCTTTAATATCACATCTCTGATATTTCAAAAGACATGAAGCCCAACCAAAGCTCTTTCTACATTTCTTACAGGGGAGAAGCGACTGCTGTCTCTGTGGTTTGGTTGACAAAGCTGTTCCATCCATTTCTTACACGTACCAAACACACATAAAAAGTGCCAATCAGTGTTAAGATTGTGAAGATTGTGCAGCAGACACATGCAGCGTACATTCTAGCAGACATCAATTTTGACATGTCCACTATTAGAGATTTGTAAGTGCCTGAACAAACTCCTATTCTTTCCAAGGCCTGTCTCTTGAGTGATAACTATAATTGCCAAACTTTTGAATGAAGCCCCAACTTACAAGGGTTCTGTGCTACAGTAGTTAAAACCACTTGGGTATGCTGAACTATGGATGAAACAGACTTTAACTTAAATATTTGCCCTCCTGAGATTGTATGAAATGTATCATAAGCATGGATTCTGTAATAAGTTATGAGCTATGAACTCGAACTGAAGTGCTTACCACGTGTATCAAATTTTTAATGTCTCTCCCATTGTGAGCTCTCAGATAAGCTTGTAACTGTGAAGACTATCATAGACGTCACATTACTAAGGTTTTTCTTGAATGTGAACACTCTGATGAAGTTGAAGACTTGAGGCATGACTGAAGCACATGACAATCTTCCCAAACTTCTGTAGTTTCTCTGCCATATGGACACTGATGCATATAAAGTCAAGTGCCTGTTGTAGTACATCCCACATGCCTCACATTTGTATGGATTATCTCCACTGTGGACTTCTTTCTTGGTCTTTAAGATATATGTACAAAGTTCTCATAGTCCTCATATTTGGATGGTTTTTCTCTGCTGAGGAGAATCTGATGGGTCAGATGAGTTGAGGCCCGGCCATAGCCTTTCCCACACGTCACATTTGTATGGCTTTTCTCCCATATAGACTTTGTGATGTAAACGATGCTGTGAATTCTGAATAGATCTCTTCCCACACTCCACATTTCAATGGCTTTTCTCCACTGTGGAGTCTCTGATGTTTCAAAAGACATGAAGCCCAGCCAAAGCTCTTTCCACATTCCTTACAACTGTAGGGTCGCTCTCCCCTGTGGACCCTCTGGTGCATGTCAAGATTAAATTTACTGTTGTACCCCTTCTCACACTGCTCACATTTGTATAGTTTTACTCCAGTATGAACTGTCTGATGGGAATGAAGTTGTGAACTCTGAGTAAATCTCTTTCCACACTCTTCACATTTGAAAGGTTTTTCTCCACTGTGGAGTCTCTGATGTTTCAAAAGACAAGAGGCCCAGCCAAAGCTTTTCCCGCATTCCTTACAGTTATAGGGTCTCTCACCCGTGTGGACCCTCTGGTGAAACTCAAGATCCAACCTCCTTTTATAGCCCTTACCACACTCCTCACACTTATAGGGCTTTTCTCCATTGTGGACTCTCTGATGGGAAGATCGTTGTGAATTTGTATAAAATCCCTTTCCACATTCTTCACATTTGAAGGGTTTTTCTCCACTATGGATTCGCTGATGATTCAAAAGACATGAAGACCATCTGAAGCTCTTCCCACATTCTTTACAATTATATGGTTTCTCTCCTGTGTGGACCATCTGATGCTTACAAAAATCTCGCCTACAAATGAAGCCTTTTCCACACTGCTCACATTTGTATGGCTTCTCTCTTACGTGAACCATGCAATGACTATTAAGTGCTGATCTCTGACGAAAGTTCTTACCACATGTATCACATCTGAATGGTTTTTCTCCTGTGTGAACCAGAGAATGCCTATTAAGTCTTGATCTAACACAGAAGCTCTTACCACATATATCACATTTGAATGGCTTCTCCCCAGTATGGATTCTCTGGTGTTCCTGAAGCTGTGAATCGTGAATGAAGGCCTTCCCACATTCCTCACAATTATAAGGTTTCTCTCCTGTGTGTAATTTGCAATGAACATTAAGTGCTGATCTACTATGGAAGCCTTTCCCACACTGCTCACATTTGAATGGTTTCTCTCCAGTATGGATCCTCTGATGAGTTTGCAGATGTGAGATCTGATTAAATTCCTTACCACACACATCACACTTATAGTGTTTTTCTCCCAAATGGACTCTCTGATGAATATGAAGGGCTGAGATGTAACAGAAGCTTTTTCCACACTCATCACATGTATGAGACTTCTTTCTTGAGTGTAATTGTTCATGGAGATCAAAGACAGAAACATAACTGATGGACTGTTTACATTCATTACCCTGGTAAGGTTTCTGTTGCACATGACTTATGGATAGGTCTGCCTCAATCTGGCAGGGGACATCACCTTCTTTGAAGAACCGAGAGCTGTTTATTATGGGGTCTTGAGACCTGGTTAGGTCACTTGCAATTTGTTCCCAGATTTGCTGGCAGGACCACTCTTCATGTGGTCCTGCTTCTGGAACAGTTTCAATTTGGATCTTGCCTCCTAAAAAGACACAGAATTAACATATGTGGGCCAGTGAAGCCCTGTTCAATGTTTTCAAGATTTTGCACTTAGAATATGGCATTAAACTTTAATGAATACAGGGAACATGAAGTTCATGTTTTCCAAGTGCACTATGGTCTTTGGTTTTCAAGAGACCAATTCAGAACCACATCACATCTCATATATAAAATCCTTGGTAGAAATAAAGGACTAAATTAAATAATTAATAACATATACATATTTAACCTGTTACTAATTTTGGTAAATTTCCTGGTCTAAAATCTTGTATGATAAATTATGAAACTAATAAAATATGAACATGAATAATGAAACAAAGGAACTTTAAAGAAGAAAGGCAGTTGCAGTAATTCAGGAAAGCGGTTTGGCAATTTAGACCAAGGTGATAGAAACAGGCATGGACAGAAGTAAAGCGGATGGAAAAGCTATGTACAAGGATGTACAGTTGCTTGGTTCTTACCTAAATTTCCTTCTCCTTGGCTTGTGGTCTTCATCATCCAAAACTTTTCCTTCCTTAGGAAGTGGAAAGTATCTTGGTGGAATGGTTGATTCCCTGTGAACATGCAAAGTTACATGCTTAATTCCAACCCACTGTAGGTGGGTTGGAAATATCTAGGGAATATTTACTGGAAATTTAGATTCCCAATGTAAACTCATACTTGAACACTTCAGAATACAAAGCATTCCTGGGGCCTAACGTTGTTACAGAGAGCGCCTGTTCTCACCTATTGAGAGCAGGTTCCTGAAGTTCTCTAGCATCACATCTTGGTACAGCTTCCTCTGGGCAGGGTCAAGCAGCCCCAGCTCCTCCTCAGTGAAGACCACAGCCACATCCTTGAAGGTCACTGCCTCCTAAAACGTTCGATACACAAAACCTAAATTTTCTGACCAATGATTATTCAAAAAAGGGTGGCATTAAGTAGGCAAAGGGGACAGGTGGTAAGTTGTCCTAGATCTTGAGGGATGTAGGTCAATATACATATCTCCTACTCACTCTGCCTATATCCTGATAATCACACACACTGATTTTTATGAGCACCACCAGAAGTGCAATGATATAAAAGAAGTCCTGTACTTTTACTTTGTGTACTCACTGAGTCTACTTGTAAGCAGCCCTCTAAGACTCTAACTGCTGCCTCCTGGGCTACATATATTTAGGTTTTAATGAGCCACCAATGCCCCAGTAACATTTAGCAATTTAGTCCCAACTTTGATAATGTCCATTGTCTTCCTGTCTCACTCAAACTGTGGATGCTATAACTGTTTTTTAATATCTGTCAAACTAACCAGTATATGGTGACCTGTGTAGGAAAGCTATGCAGTATATCCTCTATACTCTCAAGGCACAAACTACATACATTAGTTGCAGAATTCAGTGTTGTGATATGGAACCATCATGCCTCAGAGCACATCCCAAAGCTCTGTCCCTTCCTAGTTGTGTGACCTTGGACAAGCTCACCTACATACATTAGTTTCCTCTCTGTATAATGAGTTTCACCTGGTATAGTATTTTCAAGGAGTAAAGAAGGAAACATATATAGCATTGGGAAAAGTGTGTGGCACAGACTATTTAATAAATACTAGCTATTTTTATTATAACTGTCATTATTGTTAATTTCATCTCATTTCATTTCTGTATAATATTCCAGGGCAAAAATCATCTCTTTTTATTTAAACAATGAATACTTCATATTAAATATTATTTATTATCAATCCTGTAAAGAAAATAATTATATGTAGATTTTATCCTCCAGATTATTTAAAATGTCAAATGAAAATTAGAATGTCAATAAACAAACACATTTAAAATTGTGATCACACAATTTTATGCTTTCTTCCAAATTTTTTTTACCTACTTCCCACCCTTTTGAGTAAACACAAGTACTCTTATTCTCCTTATGACAGTGAAAAGCAGGTTATAAATATTCCTGTGATTTTGGTAATCTGATTAGGAAGAATAATTCATTGTATTAATATCATTCTCACTTATTTGATTATAAGTGAGTAGAATAGCTAACATTCCTGACCTTGGTTGCCTGTATGAATCTAAACAGATTTTTCATATTTGATGAGTTTAAGAGGAAGAAAAGACTAATGTCCGCATTCTGCTTCTCTAAGTAAATGTAGTAACAGAACAGAAGTGACTGGCCATTCTGCCAGTATCATTGGACATTTAAAATGAAGGTACCTACTACTTTGGTAAAACTTCTTACTCCATAAAGGAATAAGAAGAGACCGGTAAATAACATGCATTACAAGGTATGACTGAGACATGGCAAACACAGAATCTAACTCTTTCTATGTGAAAATTCCAACAATATTTGTGGGAAGCAGCAGTCAAAGCCTGATGTGCTCTACCCTGTTGAAATAATCTATCATCTATAAAATAGCCAAGTGATACATGTCAAAAGTATCCTATCTTGTTTTCAGAATTAATTTTGGGGGAAGGGATTATATATAGGAAAACTGTCAGGGCAGTGTTGCTTAAAACATTAAAATTCCTAAACCACCTAAATGTCTATGAGTGTGAGGTAGTTCAAAATAAGAAGGTACATTAATTCAATGGGACTATGATACCAATATAAAAATGGAACATTATATAATATTATACAAAATGAGCAAAATTTAAAATTAGAGGTATTTCATCAATACAAATACAGTTATGATATACATGATGAAGAATATAAGATACAAACATCTAATCTGTGAGCAAAGTAGTAGTGACATGAAAAAATTATCCATTCCTACTATTTTCTCTACTGTAGAAAATAAATTACATAAGAAAACAAGAACTGGGCTGGGTGCAGTGGCTCACGCCTGTAATCCTAGCACTTTGGGAGGCCGAGGTGGGTGGATCACCTGAGGTCAAGAGTTCAAGACCAGCCTGGCCAATATGGTGAAACCTTATCTTNAAAAAAAAAAAAAAAAAAAATGAAAACAAGAACTAAAACCAAATGGAAAGTCAACTCAAAAGCAACAAAGGAAGCATCTGGCAAATAAAATGCCCTCAATGCTTGTTGTTCTCCTTGAGTCTTCCCAAGACAGATAAAAATGTGACAATATGAGTAGTAGGATGGAATTTTAACAGCAAGAGAGGCAAGCCCTACTCACCTTGATTGTGGTCATTTTTCCTTCTACTTCAGGGAATTTGCAGAGTTCTGAATGAAGCAGTTCAAGTGAAGGTGAAATTGTGCCTGGAAAGTGCCAGGAAAGGCAGAAAAACAAATGTGAAAGCATGACTAGGAATGTTGCCCACCAAAACAGACAAGTATTTTCAATTAGCACATGAATGTTCACAGCAGCAGTTCTCATAATTCCAAACTGCAAAAAAGCAAAATGCCCCCCTATGGGTAAATGAATAGACAAATCATGGCATATCCATACAACAGAATTTTATTTAGAAATTCAAAGAAGTGAAGTTCTGGCTCATGCAACAACATGCATGAACCTTGGAAACATTATGCTAAGTAAAAGAAGCCAGTCACAAAACCCCATGGATTGTAAGATTCAATTTCATAAAATATCAGGAATAGGCAAATGTATACATAGAGAAAGTGGGTTAGTGGTTGCTCCAGATTTGAGGTGAGAATGAGGTTTAACTGTACTTAAGCATGAGGAGTCCAATTGGAAGATGAAAATGATCTAAACTGATGATGATGATGGTTACACCACTCTGCAAAGTTCCTGAAGATTATTAAATTATATGCCTGAAATGGATAAATTCTATGATATGCAAAATACACCTCAATAAAGTTGGAAATAATAATGGTTAATCTACATGTTATTTAACTGGATTCTGAGTCCATATTGATGGAATATTTATAGTTGAAGGAACTGATGAATAAATGGGGGAGACGTGGAAGCTAATCTTTACAGAAGAATGCCCACTACTAATGTATTTCCCCATAAGAAATGTTTTTATTTTCAAAACTTAATTTAAAAGTAGCCTTTCAGTGGAAAAATCTCAAAGACATCATCTTGGCCCAGTGAACAAAGTTGAAATCTCCAATGAAGGGAAAAATAGACATCATTTGGCCTCTGTTATGACACCTCAACACTTCTTTGGTACCCACACCAACAATGCATAATCTGAACCTAAATGTGAAATAGATAAACCTCAAATGAATATCTTCCTATAAAATACTTTGACTATATACTTCAAAGATGTCAAGAATAAAAAGACAAAGGCTGTTGAATCTTTCTAGATTAAGAAGACTACAGAAATGTGACATCTAAAAGCAGTATATAAAATTGGACTTTGGACTGGGGGATGGGGGAAAACAGTTACAAGAACTTTAAAAAGCACAACAAATTTAAATATGGGACTTTGGATAGAAAAGATGATGGTGTCTAATGTTGTCTAGTCATATCTAATAAGTAACAGAATTAACTAATATTAGTAGTCTTTTAATTGATATCTAATATTTAATAGTGACATTATTTGATATTATATCTAATATTACCTAGCATGTTATATGAAACTCTATAGCCAGCCCTTCCTAAATGCATCTTACCAAGACATTCCATGATCACCTTGGTATGTGGGCCTCCTTGCTGCAGAAAGCTATGATAAGTTGTTTCTCATTATAAGTTTGTTTCTGGTGGGATTTGGCTGATGTGTGTCAACAAAGCAAAATACAAAATGAAAATAATTGGAAAATTTGGGTAAAGAGCATATGAAGAGTCAGGTGCTGTGCCTTGGGCGTGTAATTCCAGCTATTTGGGACGCTGAGGCAGGAGGATAGCTTCAGTCTAGGCGGTAAAGGCTGCAGTGAGTTAGGATTGTGCTACTGTACTCCAGTCTTGGCTCTTAAAGCTCCAGCCTAATCCTTGACTACATGTCCCACATCCTGGTGTAAGTGATAGACTCCCAAAGGCTTGGGCAGCCATGACTGAGCAGTGGTCTCAGGACCAGTCCTCAGAGGGCAATGGTCCCCTTCCCACAGCTCCGTTAGGCAGTGCCCTAGTGGGGACTCTGTGGGGAGCCCCCACATTTCTCTTTGGCACTGCCTGGTAGAGGTTCTCTATGAGGGCTCCACTTCTGTGCCACGCTTCTGACTGGGATCCCAGGGTTTCTCATACATCCTCTGAAATCTAGGTAGAAGCTGCCAAGCCTCCTTCATGCTTGCATTCTGAGCATCTGCAGCCTTAACACAATGTGGAAACCAGCACAACTACCAAGGCTTTCCCCCTCTGGAGCTGCAGCCTGAACTGTGCCTGGGGTACTCTGAGCTGAGGCTGGAGCTAGAGTGGCCGGATTCAGAGCACAGTGTCTTGAGGCTGCTCAGGGAAGTGGAGTGCTAACCCTGGCCCTTGGAACCATTCTTTTCTCCTAGGTCTCTGGGCCTGTGATGGGAGGAACTTTCCTAAAGACTTCTGAAACGTCTTTGAGGTCTTTTTCCATTGTCTCAGATATTACCACTTAACTTTCTGTTAGTCATGCAAATCTCTTTTGCAAGTGGTTGCTATACAGCCAACATGTATTCCTCTCCCGAAAATGCTTTTTCTTTCTCTACCAAATGGACAGGCAGGAAATTTTCCAAACTTTTATACTCTGGTTACCTTTTAAATTCCAACTTTAAATCATTTCTTTGCTCCCATATATAACTGTAGGCTGTTTGAAGTAGTGAAGCAGCCAGGCCACTTCTTAATGCTTTGCTGCTCTGAAATTTCTTTTGCCAGGTACCCTAAGTTATCACTCTTAAGTTCAAGCTTCCAGAGATCCCTAGGGCATGAACACAAAACAGCAAAGTTCTTTGCTAGGGCATAACATGGGTGACCTTTATTCCAGGTCCCAATAACTTCCTCATTTCCATTTGAGATCTCATCAGCCTGGACTTCATTGTTCATATCTCTACCAGCATTTTGGTCACAACCATTTAACCAGTCTCTAAGAAGTTCCTATGGTTCAGTGAAAAAGTTTAAAAAAAAAAAAAAAGTTTTAAGATTTCCCTCATCTTCTTATCTTCTTCTGAGCCCTCTAAACTTTTCCAACCTCTGCCCATTAGCTAATTCCAAAGCCACTTTCACATTTTCAGGTATCTTTACAGCAATGCACTACACCTCAATATCAATTTTCTGTATTAGTTCATTTTTGTATCACTGTAACTAAATACCTGAGGCTGGGTAATTTATAAAGAAAAGAGGTTTAATTGGCTCATAGTTCTTCAGGCTATAAAAGACGTGTGGTACTGGCATGTGCTCAGCTTCTGGTGAGGCCTCAGAGAGCTTTTATTCATGGGAGAAGGTGAAGGAGGAGCAGGCATGTCACACAGTGAGAGCAGGAACAAGAAAGAGAAACCAAAGAACCCAAACTCTTTTAAACAACCAGATCTACATGAACTGAGGAAGAACTCATTCATCACCAAGGGGATGGCATTAAGCCATTTATGAGGGACCCACCCCCATGATCTAATACCTCCCACTAGGCCCCACCTTCAATACTGGGGATAAGGTTTCAACAGGAGATATGTAGGGACCAAACATCCAAATTATATCAAATGTAATTAAAAGAGAGGACTAGGTTGGACGCTGATGCTTGACCAAGGTCAAATTTTAGTGAATCTAAGCTTTAGCCACTTGCCTTAAAGCTGTCCCTAAGGGAAAAATTATGCCAGGACAACAGAAAGTACCTCTAAGACCTGTGGTTACAAAAAGGCAATCAATGTATGGGAAGGGTAAAACCAAGACACTGAAGCTACAGTGTACAGTGTGAAGGAATTGTTTATTTTGCAGCTTCTTCAGGAGCCTTTACTAAACTGGATTGTGAGAGAAACTAAGTGGCAGTTATCTTTGGTTTTAAATGCAGAGTTGAAGAGCATGTCTGGGTTTATGTAGGACCCACAGTTCACTATGAAACAATTACAGATGGTGATATGTGATGCAACAATTACAAATAGTGATTCCTGATGCAGACACACAGATGTGAAAACAAAAACCCAACAGTCTATCTATTGGGGCTTCTAAAAGTTGTTAGGCCCCGAGGAAACTGAGTCACTGAGCTAGCTTGACCTCTTCTTTCTTTATTTTCTTGTTCCTGGTTCAGACCAGATGGTATCTAAGATAAAAGATTATTTGTCTGAGATAAAAAGACCACTTTGACTATTACATCCCTAATGCAGAATGTTAAATATGCTCTTCCCAATAAAAGGAAACACTGCCTATCGAATTGCTGTAACTATGCATTAATCTTGTAGAGAAAATGCTGACATCCTGTTAAGCTTCCTAGACCCTACCTATATAAATGACTCTCAAACCTTTCCACTTCACTCCAATCTTTTGAAGTCCATGTCCTCCCAGGTGGACATCCTCAAATTTTGTGTTTGAATAAATTCAATATTTAACCATATTTCCTGAATCTCATTATCAAGGTTAACAGAGGTTGTTCCCAAGAGAACAGCCAGCTTGATGTGGATTAATGGCATGGTAAGGTCTGCTTACCCTGAAAAAGGGGAATGCTCAACTCACCCTATAAATGCTGGGTGAGACACCACAGATGACGCAACTGATACACTGCATGCAAGCCATGTGAGAATGAATTTATGATTACTGAGACATTCATCTGCTGAATATTCTCCTTACCCAGGTCATGGTAAATGCTGTGGCTAAGGCGGCCACTTTGGCATGGGTACCCCATGTGACTTTCATAAAAAGAAAATGCAAAATGGAGATGGTTATGTCAGAGGTATCTAAAATGAGGCATGAGGAGTTGGACCCCAGTCATATAAACACCCAGATGGATTTTAACCTGTCAAACTGCGCCAAATTGTAAAACCAGCTGCATTTGATTGGAATTATTTTTTTTTTTTTTTTTTTTTTTTTTTTTTTTTTTTTTTTTTTTTTTTTTTTTTTTTTTTTTTTTTTTTTGAGTCGGAGTTTCGCTCTTGTTACCCAGGCTGGAATGCAATGGCGCGATCTCGGCTCACCGCAACCTCCGCCTCCTGGGTTCAGGCAATTCTCCTGCCTCAGCCTCCTTAGTAGCTGGGATTACAGGCACGTGCCACCATGCCCAGCTAATTTTTTGTATTTTTAGTAGAGACGGGGTTTCACCATGTTGACCAGGATGGTCTCGATCTCTTGACCTCGTGATCCACCCGCCTCGGCCTCCCAAAGTGCTGGGATTACAGGCTTGAGCCACCGCGCCCGGCCTGATTGGAATTATTTATACGTGGCCTGATCGCAAACCTGTTGGGGAGACAGCTATGCTGAACTAGATTGATCATCAACTAACGACACCCTAAGTTGCTAACCAACTGTCATCAATCATGGACTGTACTAAGACTTTCCAGATATGTAAACTTACAGTAAACATTTATAAGCCATTGCCCAACCTTGCCTGGATAGAACAGGAAATGATTTAGCTGACTACTAGATGTGTACCTCTTGATTGCAATTCACAAGACCCCACTTAAAACATCTTTTGTTTGCGGCTCAGTGTTGATATTATTTATTAGTTGACACCTTAACTCTTGCAAAACTGAACAACAGTCCTAGAAACCTTATGAAATTTGTCTCAGCCTCCTTTTAAGGATCTTAAAGATGTTAATAAAAACATTAATTATCAAGAGGAAAAAGACAGAGAAAAGAGTCAAAGGACTCATCCCAGAAAGCTAGAATTTTTTTTTTTTTTTTGAGATAGAGTCTCAGTCAGGCGCCAGGCTGGAGTGCAGTGGCATAGTCTCAGCTCACTGCAACCTCCGCCTCCCGGGTTCAAGCAGTTCTCCTGCCTCAGCCTCCTGAGTAGCTGGGACCACAGGTGCACGCCACCACGCCCAGCCAACTTTTGTATTTTTCGTAGAGACAGGGTTTCACCATGTTGGCAAGGATGGTCTCGATCTCTTGACCTCATGATCCGTTTGCCTCAGCCTCCCAAAGTGCTGGGATTACAGGCTTGAGCCACCGCAGCTGGCCGAAAGCTAAATTTTTTAAAGATCATTTAGAAAATAATAATAAAGGTGAAACTAAGGAAAAGGGAGAGTGTGTCATGGGACTCATTCCAACAGGGTGAAAATCTTTAGGTTCTTATGTTAAATTAAGTTCAGCCTAAAGCTGCCTTCTTACATATTTTTTTTTTTTTTTTTGGAGACGGAGTTTCGCTCGTTACCCAGGCTGGAGTGCAATGGCGTGATCTCGGCTCACCGCAACCTCCGCCTCCTGGGTTCAAGCAGTTCTCCTGCCTCAGCCTCCTGAGTAGCTGGGATTACAGGCACGCGCCACCATGCCCAGCTAATTTTTTGTAGTTTTAGTAGAGACGGGGTTTCACCATGTTGACCAGGATGGTCTCGATCTCTTGACCTCGTGATCCACCCGCCTCGGCCTCCCAAAGTGCTGGGATTACAGACTTGAGCCACCGCGCCCGGCCTTCTTACATATTTTAAGTTAGGTATAAAGGTTTCTCTAGGCCAGGCGTGGTGGCTCATGCCTGTAATCCCAGCACTTTGGGAGGCCAAGGTGGGCAGATTACCTGAGATCAGGAGTTCAAGACCAGCCTGGCCAACATGGTGAAACCTCGGCTCTACTAAAAATTAGCTGGTATGGTGGTGTGTGTCTGTAATCCCAGCTACTCAGGAGGCTGAGGCAGGAGAAGCACTTGAACCCAGGAGGCGGAGATTGCAGTGAGCTAAGATCACACCACTGTACTCCAGCAAGGGCAACAGAGTGGGGGACTCCATCTGAAAAAATAAAAAAAATAAAAAAACAAATAAAGGTTTCTCCAAATATAGTGAATTGTAACTTAACTAGGGTGTAAACAGACTGTAATATACTCTTGTGCCAATCACTTGCGTTTTGCCTAATCAAAGGGAACCAACTATTCAAACAGGGATCAAATAAGGCAAAAGCTGAGCTGTAATCAAACTGGCTGTTTCTGTTCCTCACTTCCACTTTCTAAATGTCACTTTCCTTTTTCTGTTCATAAATCTTCTTCAACCACATGGTAGCACTGAAGCTTTTCCGAATCTCTTCTGGTTCAGGGGCTGCCTGATTTACAAATTGGTTTTTGCTCAATTAAATTATTTAATTTATCTAAGTTTTTTTTTTTTTTTACTTTTAACAGTTATTAAGAAATGGAATAAATAAAATGGATAGAAGATAGTGCATGGATTTGGATGGCCCACCATCATTTCTTCAGACCAAGAAACACACTAGATAGATAGGCCACAATGGCCAATGGTTTAATCAACTGTGTTGATGCAATGAAGTTTCCATAAAAAACCAAGAGGACTGGATTCTGGGAGCTTCTGGATTGCTGAACGCATGGAGGTTCCTGGAGAGTGGCATACCCAGGAAGGTATGGAAGCTCTGCACCCTTTCCCACATGCCTTGCCCTAGGCATCTCTTCACCTGTAGCTTTTGTAATATCCTTTGTAATAAACCAACAAACCCCCCTCCAAAAAAATAAGCTTAATGATTGGGCACAGCGGCTCATGCCTGTAATCCCAGCACTTTGGGAAGCTGAGGCGGGCAGATCATGTGAGGTCAGGAGTTAGAGACCAGACTGGCCAACCTGGTGAAAACCCATCTCTACTAAAATACAGCATGGTGTGCGCCTGTAATCCCAGCTACTTGGGAGGCTGAGGCAAAAGAATCACTTGAACCCGGGAGGTGGAAGTTACAGTGAACCACGATCACGTCACCGCACTCCAGCCTGGGCAACAACAGTGAGCCTCCATCTCAAAAAGTTAAAAATAATGAATAAAATAAATTAATTAATAAACAAAAGTAAGCTTAACAGTTACTATCTTTATATCCTGCATTCAGGGGTAATTAAACATTTTTTTCTTGTCATATTTCTGTAGTTTCAGAATGCTCCATAATGATATGGCTCTATAAGAATACAAAATATTTGTAATAAGTGAAACAAAATAGTTGACAAAGTTTAAAAGACTCCTAAAGAAGTCCAAGCCCATGAGCCTTACTCTCAAGGTCCCTTCAGTCAAGTCCTAACTTGCTTTCTCCACCTGATTCCAGCTAGTTCCTCTGCCTCAGTGAGAATGTATCCAAGAGATTATCAGCTCGGGCTCTGACCTGGACTGCAAAGGTTCCAACCCCAGCTCCACTTCTTATTATTAGTTGGGCAACTATGGGCAAATAACTCCTGCTCCCTTTGTCTCATCTTTAATAGATGAAATGGCAGTACCTCTCCACAGAGCTACCATATGGTGAACATGAATTTCTTTGCATAAAGCCCTTAGAAATAAAGATAGCAATTAAGGCTTTCTTATCAATGCTCATGACCAATTACAACATCCTACAATAGATGTGAACGTTGCTGTAAAAGAAAAGTGACAAGTCACACTCACATGGAGCTTTGCTGTCAGTAGTCAACAAGTCAGTCCATCTACCTCCATGCAATCGTTTTAGAGAAGTCAGGCTGTGGAAACAATGCTGCGAAATACCATAGCTGTGTACTCATTCTTGACAAAACAGTCAAGACTCTCCCCTCCTTCTGCGGAAATTGGAGATACCCCTCCTTTTCCTAAATAAGAGGCCAGAGAGTGTCCATAATTATCCAGTGTTCTGCAGGGATCAGAGAGAAGAGCCAGTAATGCTTTGACACCACCCCAGGGACCTGACCATTTCTCAGGAAATTAACAACAGATCACCATTCATTATAACAGAAACTGTGTTAAGACTCTTTTCTATTACCTCTTTCAATTCCCAAGACAATTCTGTTAGGAAGGTCTTAATAACCCCCATTTAAAGAAAGGCAAAGAGAGGCCCAGGGAGATGAGATTAACACCCCAATGTACTTCTGTGGGAATCGGCCTCGCGCCAGTAGTGGAGGGAGGCGGATTGGGAGAGCTCAGAGCCCCAGAAACCTCCAAATCAGGCGAGAGGTGACAGGACCCAGTCCCAAACTCCCCCGGTACGCTAGGACAGCCCCAAACGCAAGAAATCTCTGCCGTGGGGATTGCAAACCGCCGCCCTCACCCCTCCAAACCTTTGCTTTTCAACGGTGCTTCCTTTCCTCTAAACCTATCGCTAGCTTGACAAGGGTTCCTAGAGAAGGTCCAGGAAATTCAGAAGGGCCTACGAGACGCAGAACAACTCAGACTATCACAGAATAAAGGGTAACTCCCGCAGCAGTGGCTCCCGAGACTCCACAGAGCGTCTGGAATACATTTCCCAGAATTCCCCGGATCTGACTGCCTGAGCGGAAGTGCCCGCAACTCCGCAGGCCATTTGGACTCTTCCCAGGATGCCCAAGGAGTAACAGTTTTACCCTCCAGGGGGATGTGTTCCAACTAAGCATAGCTTCTTGACCACACTTCTTCCAAGTACCCAGAGAAGGGAATCCCTCTTCCCAAACGCCTACGTGGTTAGATGGACTCCTGCACCGAGTGTCGTCCTTACCTTGAGTCTTCGAGCAAAAATATTACATAAACGATTATTTTCTGATCGAAATATCCCCAATTATGACAGAAGTATGACTGGAAAGTGAACAACTGTGGAGATAAAATATTTTCAAGGAACTAATGAGAAATTTCTACTTAGGGATCAATAGAGAACTGAAGGGAGATAAACCTTTAGTATAATCTGATGATATGAGGCTAAAACTGATTGTATGCCGATGTAATTTTAATTTGCATTTCCTGTATTGTAAATGAAATAGAACATCTTTTCATGTTTTCAAAGGCCATTCTTTTTTTTTTTGTAAATCGTTCAAACATTTTGTCTACCTTTCTAATGGCTTTTTGGCCTTTTCCCTCAATATTTAAATATTGTTTATACATTTGTAAAATAATTATTTTTTCTTTCAAATCTTTTCTATTTATTTTCTTTTGGTTTTATGGGTTTTTTTTTTTTTGGCACAAAAATATATTTTAATGTAATCTATCTTTTAAAAAATGTTTTTATTGAGATTAATTCATAAGACAAAACTAACCATTTAAAAATGTACTTACTGTTCAATGGCTGTGACATTTAGTACATTCACAACATTGTGAAAACAACACCTCGTAAGGTCTAAAACATTTTCATCTCCCCAAAGAAAACCCCATACCCATTAATCAGTTCACTCCCATTGCCCTAAGCCTCAAGTGGCTACAACCAATCTTTCCATCTTATTTAATTACCTATTTTGGATATTTCATATAAACGTAATCATACAATTATGTAACCTTTTGTGTCTGACTTTGCTTAGTAGAATGTTTTAAAGGTTCATCTACATCATAGCATGTATCAGTACTTAATTTCTTTTTAAAGACAAATACTTTCTTGTTATGTTTTATACCAGATTTTGTTTACAATTATGTAACCTTTTGTGTCTGACTTTGCTTAGTAGAATGTTTTAAAGGTTCATCTACATCACAGCATGTATCAGTACTTAATTTCTTTTTAAAGATAAATACTTTCTTGTTATGTTTTATATCAGATTTTGTTTATTGGTCATTGATGGACATTTGGGTTATGCATAATGTTACTATAAAAATTCATGTGCAAATATTTATTACACTACCTGCCTTCACTTCTTTTGCGTATATTCCTAGATGTGGAATTAGTGAAGTGATATGATAATTCATTAAACTTTTTGAGCAATCACAAAACCATTTGCCACTGCTATTGCCCCACTGTATGTTCCATCCATCAGTATGTGAGAATTTCTTCACATTCTCACCCATATTTATTTTCCGTTTTCAAATGATAGACATCATATTACTTGTGATGTGATAACACAGTGTTGTTTTGATTTGCATTTCTCTAGTGACTAATGATGTTGAGCATCTTTTCATATGACTGTTGGTCATTTGTACATCTGAATGTTTATTCATGTGTTTTCTGCATTTTTTAATTGGATGGTTTATATTTTTGTTGTTGAGTATAAGTTTTAAAAAATATATATTCTGAATACTAAACATCATACTGTATGGTCTTTTCACTTAACAATGTTCTTTTATGGGTACAGTTTTTAATTTTACTGAAGTCAAATTTATGTATTTCTTCTTTTGTTGCTTGCACTTATAGGTCTATCTAAAAATTTATTGCCAAAAAAAATCAAGATTTACTCTTATGGTTTCTTCTCAGTGTTTTATACATTTTGCTCTTGTATTTAGGTTGTTCCATTTTAAGTTAATTTTTAAGCACAGAGTGAGGTGATGATCCAACTTCATCATGTTGCATATGAATATCCAGTTTTCTTACCAACATTTGTTAAGGAGACTATAGTTTTCCCATTAAACAGTTTTGTATTTTTGTTGAAAATCAAGTGGCCTTTAGATGTATGGGTTTTCCTTATGGACTGTCAATTCTACCAGTCATGTGGCTTCCACTCAGAAGAGGTTCACACCCCTATGATTGCATCCCCAATCAATCAGCAACACCCATTCCCTAGCCCCCTGCCCACCAAACTATCTTTTAAAAACCCCAGCCTCCATATTTTCAGGGAGGCTGACTTCAGTAACAGTAAAACTCTGTCAATGAAAAGACTCAAACTCTGTAAAACATTTGAAGAGATTATTCTGAGCCAAATGCAAGCATCCATGGCCCATGACACAGCCCTCAGAAGAGACCACCACATATGCCCAAGGTGGTTGGGCCACAGCTAGGCTAGTACATTTCAGTGGGACATAAGACATCAAGCAATATATTTAAGGTACACATTGGTTCAGTCCAGAAAGGCAGGACAACTGGAGGCAGTGGGGGCTGGGGGTAGAGGGTGGGGTGGGGGGCATGGGGGTTGGGGGTGTGTGGGGGGCTTCTATGTTATAGGCAGATTCAAAGATTTTCTGGTTGTCAACTGGTTGAAAGAGTTTATCTAAAGACCTGGAATCAACAGAAAGGAAATGTCTGGGTTAAGATAAGAGATTTTGGAGAACAAGGTTCTTATTATGCAGATGAAGTTTCCAGGTATCAGGCTTCAGAGAGAAGAGATTGTAAATTTTTCTTACCAGACTTTAAAACGTGTCAGACTCTTGTTTGATTCTCTCCTGGATCAGGAAAAATGGTCTGGAAAAGGGAAAGGAGATTTACTACAAAGTGTAGATTTTTCTCCACAAATGACAACTTTTCAGGGCTATTTCATAATAGAGCAAAGAAACATATTTAGGGTTCAAATATTTTGATTTCTTTTATCAGTCATGAGATGTTATAACAGTCAGGATGGAAAGTAAGTCACACTAAATAAGTTTAATTAAAACCCCTCTCATGAGACTTTATGATTTGGAGAGCTTGACTCCCCAAACCCTTAGATAGGAATTTGGGCATGAAAAGAAAAAAGGGCAGAGTTCAGTCTTCACTCTGGTCTCCCATTTAGCCAGCTCTATGTGTATTAAACTCTTTCTCTATTGCAATTCCTCTGTCTTGATAAATTGGTTCTATCTGAGCAGTGGGCAAGATGAGTCCATTGGGTGGTTACTTGTCTATCTTCCTCTTATTAGAGAGAGTATTTATCCAGGATTTGAAATTTTCACTGATGCAGGGCAGTTTCTTGACTTTCCTTAGGAAATAATTCAAGAGCAAGCCAGCTGTGGAAGAAACCAGTGTTAAAGCTCAGTGACTGCTCCTTGCAGACCAAGGCTAGTCCATAGGCAGTGTGTCCAGAGTAGCAGCATATTGGCTGTTGGCTAGGTATACTTAAACTAACTTTTCATTACATGCAAATTAAGGGGTGAGTTATCAGAAGTTTCTAGAAAAGGGGTTGGTAACTCCTAGGTGTTGCCATGGCATTTATAAACTGTCATGGTACTGGTGGGAGTGTCTTATACTGACAGGTAGCAAAGGGACATAATGGAATGAGTACATTCTATGTTCTTATACTTTAACCAAGATATTAATTTTAGACATACTCAAGCACGTCACAACTCACAGCCTATGCCCCTTCCCTATTTGGAAATATTACTACTTCTCTAAGCCCTTTTGCAAGCAACTTCCTCTTTCTATTGTTCTCCCTTGCCTTTACCTATTTAGGAAAGTTTTAAGTTATTAGCCAGTCAGATTCAGCTTAGATTGTACCGTCCAGCTCTAGCCAATGAAGACAGGACACAGTAGCAGGGAGAAGCTGTGTAAGGGATAAAAATTGCTTCCCTCCTTTGTTCTGGTGTGCTCTCGCCATAGCTCCATCTGCCAGGCGCACCCTTTCTGCAGAAAGTAACATTGCATTGCTGAGAAAACTTTTTATCTGAATGGTGATTTTTCCTTGCGGCACAGAGGAATAAGCATTCTGTTTTCTGAATAAACATTTTACTTATAACAGGGGCTTACAGGTTGCTTTCCATCACTTATGAGTTTCAGCAGGTTTCTTATCTGGTCTTGGAATCAAGCCTTGCTGGTCTGTTGCCTCAGCCCAAATTGAACATTGTTCCAACGTTTACAGCTACTCTTATGTAGTCAGCTTAACACTTTTTGTTTTTTATCCTCTCATAACAAAGCTGGAAAAATATTTAGTTTCTACCTAGGAGAAAAATGAATAGCATAGCTTTCTGTATTTTTTGCATTTCATATCTTAATCCGTCACTTCCACTTCCTCTCCTTATTGAATATTCACAGATACCTTTGGCAAATCATAAGACACCTTTACAAATTCCTGATTCTGAGAGCAATAAGTGATGTGATTCCTTAATCCAAACTGAATTTTTTCAAGATTTTATATACGTTAGAGCCTACTCAAAACTATAATACTTTCTTCAGTATCCTGTGAATGCAAGAAAACTAAGCACAAGTGGAGAATTTTGCTGCTTTTGTTTCATGTCCTGCTGTAAAATTGCATCTCCTTTTTTGAGCATTTTTAATCACAGATGAATCCAGATCCGTATAATAAAAAGTCTTGTTGCTCAGGGCGGCTCTGGCCACCTCTTTTATTACCTCTGTTTCTAGCTCACACATAGCATTCCTTAATATTTTCCTTTTTTTCATATTTGCAACTCTGTCACATATAAAAGGGAACAATGGCAAAAAGAAAAAGTGTTAGGGTCCCAACAAGACAGGCCCACAGACCCCACCCCTCCCATGCATTTTCCCCTGTTAAGCCAAGCTGATAACAGAAACAGCCTCAGGCCTTGTAAACAGGGCACCTAGATTCCAAAATGTGGTCGCACCTGGCTATCGGACCCAGAATGTTGACTCAATTAAGCAGGATGTCAGCCCCTGGGAACCAAGATGCGGTTTTTGTTAGAATAGCACCCGGCTACCTGCAAATCCCGGCTACCTGCAAATCCCCCAAAGTCTGTAAGACGGGCTGCTGCCTGCCTTCACTGCCTGTGGTGAGGCAGCCTTGCAGGTTGAATAAAACTTGCTAAACCTGGTCTTGGGTCTGTCTCTCCTTTCCTTCGGTCAACCTTACAAAAAGCAGGCTGAGCTCTATGAACACTGACTTAGGCTTCACCGGCTGAAAGGAAAATTTCAGGCTGGCGGGAAGTTGAGCCCTACAGAGGATTCTGGGACGTGTAGTCCAGACTTTGGTGGGTACTTCCGCTCTGGGAAAGCGTGGCTTAGTTATTTGCTCCACTGGGGAAATAAGAACCCATAACCCACTGCTCAGTGGGTTCGATAGTACTTTGGCTACCTGAGGACGAGAACACGAAGCCCGCTTCCCTCAGGGATTCTGGGAAATTCGACTCGGCCGTGGGAGTTGAAGCAGGTACTTCCGCCAGAGGGGCGGATCAGCGGCTTCCGTTCCTCTCGGGGATGCTGGGAAGTGTAGTTCTCGAGCCCCCGCCCCCCGCACCCCCCACCGCGGTCCGAGGCACTTCCGCTGCGGGACGTTGAGAGTGTGGCCTTCATTCCTTTGGTGTAGGTGAGTGAGCCTTGGGACACCGCGACCTTTTTTAACTTTTGTGGTTTGGTCGTAGGATCAGCGGGGCTCGCGGGTCAGCGGGAAAAGAAGCTGCGGTCAGCAGTGGAGGGGGGAGTTGAATGGCAGGGCAGCTGTTTGCCTTCCTCTCTCCGGAGCCGCTGCGTTTGGGGCGGTTCGGGAGTCCTCAGGTTGGAGGCGACCTGGATCGGGCGGTGTCTGAGGGTCTCCTGGGCAATATGCGGCCCGACCCGCCTCACCTCACCTGCTTCCCATAGCTCTATCGCTTCCTAGCGGTGTAACGTTGGGTGCGAACTTAATCTTGCAGTGCTTAGTTTTCTGGTCATAGTAGAATATTGACCTTATACATTTGTTTTGACAATTAGTAATATAGAACAAGTGAAATGTGTATAGAATAGTGCAGGAATGTGGCAACATGTTGGCTGTTAATATTAAAACTATCATAATAACCTTAAAAGTATTCATTTTTCAGCAAGCACCTCTGAGTACCACTGGCTCTTCTTTCTGGTCCCCTCAGGAACGGAGGTTGTTCCTGGACTATTTCTGACCTGTTTTTAAAGGAAGAGTGCATCCCTCAACAGGTGGCATCTGGAGTTATCTTGTGTGGATTTTTCAGGATCTCAGACAAGATCGTGCAATCTCCCAGCCTCCTTTCCTTCCCCTGCCCTGATTTCTGAAAGAATGCTGCGGAGAGGAGGAACCCTGGCTCCTGGCAGCAGAACCCCACTGTGACAGGACCTAGCATTCACCCTTCTCTTCTGCTCTGAGTGGGAGAAGGTATTTCATTCATTGGCAAATGTTTCTGCTATAGAAGTGTTCCGTTATTGTTGAATAATTGGGAAAATGACTTGAATATTAGTCACACTAGTTAAACACTGGGTGCTGAGTATACTCTAAGGGCTGTATAAAAATTAACACACATAACCTTCACAAAGGCCTTGTGATGTGGGTTCTGTTCACCTTCATAAAGGTGATGTGGGTATTGTGATGTGGGTTATTACACCTATTTTACAGATGAGGAAATGGAGACATCCTAAGTTACTTTCCTATGTCACAGTGCTAGTAAGAACAGTGGGATTTCTGTCCTAGGCTTGGGTTCCTTACATCTGACTATCTTTGTCCCACAGTTTGAAATTCCAAATTAGAATTAGGAAATAAAATAGAAGAACAATACACATAAATAATCATAGCAAACTGGCTGCAGAGGAGGCATTGGGATCACATTGGGGAGGGAGGTTGGAATTTTACTGTAGAGAATTTTGAAAGCAAGGTTTTTTGGACTTCTTTATAAAATTTTGAAAGAATTCTTATTTAATTTAATTTTAAGCAATATTAGTAGTTCATATTCTGATCATAGAGATGCATGTTCTCTGTACAGGATGCAGAAAATACAGAAATGTAAAATATTACAAATTTCCTTAATACCAGGATATAGATAATTATTAACATTTTAATGCATTTCTGTTAAGCAGTTTTTAGTGTGTTTTCGTCTATGTTTTATGAAATTGTTATCACACTATTCATAGTGGGTCTTATTCCCTTATTTTTTTGCCGTGGAAATTTCCAAACATATCCAAATATGATGAACTCTTATGTAACAGTCATCCTGCTTCCATCCTTGCTAATCTTATTGCTTCTCCCACAAAGTTTTTTTCCCTTAAGTGTTTTAAAAGAAACCCATATATTGAGTCAGTAAGGCTTAAAAACTAATAACTATCATTAATTGTGTGGGGTTTTTGTTTTGTTTTGTTTTGTTTTGTTTTTGAGATGGAGTCTTGCTCTCTTTCCCAGCCTGGAGTGCAATGGTGTGATCTTGGCTCACTGCAGCCTCTGCCTCCTGGGTTGAAGCGATTCTCCAGCCTCAGAGTAGCTGGGATTATAGGTGCCTGCCACCAAGCCTGGTTAATTTTTGTATTTTTAGTAGAATTTGGGTTTCTCCATGTTGGCCAGGCTGGTCTCAAATTTGACCTCAAGTGATCTGCCCACCTCAGCCTCCCAAAGTGTTGGGATTACAGGTGTGAGCCACCATGCCAGGCCTCATTAATTGTTTATATGTGAAGGCCAGGGGTGGGGAGATTATATTCATTTGCCAGAGCTGCAGTAAGAAAATACTGTAAATTGGTTGGGTTATACAGAAATGTGTTTGTTACAGTTCCGGAGGCTAGAAGTCCAAGATCAAGGTGTCACCAGTTTTGGTGTCTTGTAAGGCCTCTCTCCTCTGTGTGCTTGAGCTCCCTTGCCGTATTGTATATCAACTTTATCACCTCTTTAAATCCCCTAATTCCAAAGACGGTTATTTTCTGAGATACTGAGTGTTAGGACTTTAACATTTTGAAAGAGGCACACAATTCAGCCATAATAGATATTCACAGAAACTCTGAGGTTTTTCACTCTTGGCAGCTAGGAGAATGCCACTTATGTGAGAAAGCTGGAATGAGTTGCAATTAGGAAAAGGAAGACAATTGATTTTCGTTGCTTTTTTGGAGTTGCACTTGCCACTGGCATATAACTTTTGGTGTCTTATCTCTCCCACTAGACTTTAGGGACCTCTTTCATGGACATTATTATATTCTTCTCAGAGTACCCAGCAAGAGGTTTGCAAAGAGGAGTTATTCAATGAGTAAGTGTGATTCATGTAGCTGTCCAACAGACATCTGGATTTAGGGTATCACAGCTTGCAATTAGAGAACAAAATAGAAAGATTATCCGTAGTCTTTGTCCATTATCTTACTTAAATTTGGTGGGCTGTAGAATCTGTCAACTTTTTCAGAGTATTCAAAAGTTGATGTACAATTGTGAATAATATTATCAAGATCTAAAACAAACTCCCTTAAAGATAAATCGAATCACTGTTAAGGTTCAGGTTTTTTGTGGTTTTTTTTGAGACAAAGTCTTGTTCTTTTACCAAGGCTGGAGTGCAATGGTGCAATCTTGGCTCACTGCAGCCTCTCACTTGGGAGGCTGAGGCAGAGGATTGCTTGAGTTAAGGAGTTCAAGATCAGCCTGGGCAACATAGTAAGACCTTGTCTCTATAAATAAAGTCAAAAAATTACCTGAGCATGGTGGCGCACACCTGTGGCCCCAGCTACTTGGATGCTGAGGTGGGAGGATCATTTGAGCCCAGGAGGTCAAGGCTTTAGTGAGTCATGATTGTGTCACTGCACTCCAGCCATGGCAGCAGAGCAAGACCCTGTCTCAAAAAAAAAAA